AGTTGATGCCTTGACTCTTTTGGGGAGTTTATTTTTGATCTTGTTTAAAGATTGAATTTTGGTGACTTGGATCTTTAAAGAGTTCATTATTCTTGATGGTAAAAATTAGACATTTTTTTTCCATATTAATTGTTGTAATTCTATGTTCTTTTACTTGGTCTTTCAAATTGATGAATTTGGTCCTTAAAATTGTGGTTACCGGAGTTTTTATTGCAAAATATCAGTAATTCTCTAATTTCATGTTGATTAATTTGAGAAATAATATATGCCAAGTGAAAAAATCCAAGAAAAGGAATACAATGTGAATAAATCTTTAGGACTACCAAATATAATTTAGCACCAATTTTTTATGATATCAATGAAGAGATGCAAAGAGCAGGGATGTTTAGACAGCCTACAGTAGTTTGTGTAGATTGTAACTTCAAGGGGCTGCAGCACAAAATGTCACACTTCAAGGGGTTGAACCACATGGGAGAAAGTAGACGTGACTGCAGCACATGAAGTTTCTGCTTTTGGGGCTTGAACACATTTTTCCCTAAATATCAGGCTTTACAATGTTCATTCTACGGTGCAAAGTCTAATATCTTTAATATGTAGGTAATTTACGTGAATTTGAAAACAGAACAACTCTTATCTCTCTTGGTAGAGGCTTTTAAAGTATATATAGAGTCTATAGGTTCGATACTTGCGATTGATGTTTTGCATAATAAACCCAAAAGTGTTACCTCCTTTATTTTTGGAATCCACCCCGCTTAAAAAGTTTATCTTCTGTATTAGTCCCTTAAATTTTTCATATTTGAAATTAATCCCTCAAATCACTGAAATTGCTGTTAGATAATCTTTTTCCTTCCAAATATAAACCCACAATATTAGTCCCTTAAATTTCTCCTATTTTAGAGTTAATCCCTCAATTCATTGAAAATTTCTATTAGGTCTAGCAATTTTTAAGTTATTTATAAATCGGTCCCTCAAATCATTAAACTTGTCATCAGATCCCTTAATTCTAAATCATTTTTAAAATTACTTCCTCTAATCGATGGTAAGAAGCCGCAACTAGAAATATTAATTTGAAAAAAAATTATGAGAATTATGAAAGTTAATAGCAATTACAATAATTTGAGGGACTAATTCTAAAATAACTTTACCATTTGGGGACCTAATAGAAAACCAATTATTTGAGGGACTAAATGAAAAATATGAAAGATTTAAGAAATTAACATCGAGAATCCTAAATAAAATTTTAGCTATAAACCTAGAGTTTCATCCCTCATTAGATTTTAAAATCATTCACTTCCAATGTGACCTAAGTTAATCCACCCAAAGTTTTGCCAATTTCAGTTATAAACCAATTTATTTACCAAAATGTTTTTTGTCTACTAAACACAAAGTTTTACCCACATCTATTTTTAGATCCACCGGCTTCAAAAATTACTTTTACACCAAAATACTCCACCGGTTTATTTTTAAACTTATTTTGAATTTTACCAGTTTAGTACACATTGAAAGATGATATACCCTCTGCAACTTGCTTTTCTTTTATAAGTGATTAGGTGCATGATGTAAATAAATATTTTAACCATTATATCTTGGAAAAATTGCATCAAGGCCCCAAATTCATATTTTCAATGTGCCCTAGCCCCTCCAACTTTCAATTAGACATGCCAGCTCATGATTAGACATATCAGCTGACTTAAATCCCGAATTTACCCTCCTCTTTCTCATGTCAGTGGATGTTAACTCTTTTCTGTAACATGTTAATTCTTTTCTGTAAAATGTTAACTCTTTTCTGTAACATGTTAACTCTTACAGCTAACATGTTAGCTGTAAGAGTTAACATGTTAGCTGTAAGAGTTAACATGTTAGCTGTAAGAATTAACATGTTATCTGTAAGAGTTAACATGTTATAGAAAAAATTAACATTTTACAGAAAAGAGTTAACATGTTACAGAAAAGAGTTAACATGTTACCGAAAAGAGTTAACATGTTATAGAAAAGAGTTAACATGTTACAGAAAAGAGTTAACATCCACTAACATGAGAAAGAGGAGGGTAAATTCGGGATTTAAGTCAGCTGATATGTCTAATCATGAGCTGGCATGTTTAATCAACTGCTGAAATGAGCTGGAATCATGATGGAGGAGTGATGGAGGGGCTTGGACACATTTTTTTCAAAAAGGAGGGGCTAAGGAACATTAAAAAAATAGGAGGGACTGGGGCACATTGAAAATATAAATTTGGGGCCTAGAAGCAATTTTTCCTTATATCTTTGGCTTTTCTTACACTAAATTTGGCCACATTGCTAATTGCAGATGGTTTTTTGCCTATAAATCCAAAGTTTTATCCCCCTCCCCCCTCCAACCAAAACAAATTTATTTTAAAACCCACTCACTATCCAACAAGAATTGTTATCACTAAAACGAAAGTCTTACCACTATTTAGTTTTAGACAAATCCAAGAAAATCACCTTAGATCCAACATAATTGAAAGATTTTTTTTAAAACCCACTTTACATATTAGCAATTTGGTATCAATGTGAGTTGTTGGATTTTATTTTAACTTGATATATTTTTGATCGGATGGACTTGTATAATATATTTTAAACTAGATATTTAAGTTGTTATTGTTTGACTTTTGGCGCACACATGCCGCAACATTGGGCTCGGGTCAATTCTGCTAGTTATTCATGAAGACAATTGAGGAGTGCTAGCTATAATCGCGAGTGCACGACACTGGCGCTGTAGCAGGGACATGTGTCCTATATGTTCCTATAGGGGGGCACATGTCCTAGCTACAGAGCGCTCGAATCGACTCTGGCTAGCATTTCGCCAATTGCAAAAAAGAAAAAAATATAAATATTTAAAAATGGAACATCTCGAGTTATTTTAGATGTATAAAGTATGGAAGATAAAAGAATTCTCATCTAAACCATACGTGGAAGCTAACTCCATCTCTCAAATTTCTTGCAGCTCAAACCCACATTTGAAATTTTCAGGCATGAAGATTCGGAGGACTGCTTCCCGTACTGTGTCGACCTTTTTTCGCCTACTTCTTTCGGCACTTGAGCAGATAGTACAGATCGATCTACCCGTAATTAAAAAAGAAAATCATAAAATGCGTGCTAGCATGTATATATACCCATTCATGATAAGGAGAGGAAAAAAAAAAAAATGGTTGACATACCAAAAACTACTCCTATACCGCAATCACTAGATTATGTAGAAACTACACTCATAAACTCCTCATCAACCAAAAGCTTACCGCCAACCTCACCTCCAAATCCACTACACTCCCCCTCCCCTCCCTCCCCACATACTTCGCCACCTCCCCGTCATACTTACTCGCCACCTCGCTCCTCACGGCCACCACCCTCCCCCTCCCGAACTCACCTTGACGGTACAAAACGAAACTAGGTGAACTGCCCACAGCTATCCCGAACGAGTCGAACCCTCTCAGCCTGTTCACCGTCGGCGCGTCCATCCACCCCTTCCCTCTATCACGTATTGCATTGTCTGTGTGTGTGGGCACGGTCCGGTGCACCACGATCACACGCCGACCCGCCTGGTGGGGGGGGGGCGTGTCCGACGATCTCCCTGACTGCTTGCGGCCGACGTTGATAACACCAAACGCAGGCGAAGTACTAAACAGGGGGAGAGTGGTTGAGCCTCGGAACCTGTTGGCCGCGAGTGCAGATTTGGTTTGTTTGGGCGAAGCGCGGGCCTACGGGTTGTGGATCGCCATACTAATGGCAGAGTGCTTGGAATGCGGAGATTTCACCTGCATCAAGCTTGCATTCGTCATTAGCTCTTGATTTGAGCTCGGAGATGGATTTCGACGACGGGCGGAAGACTCCCTCGCGGGGCGACCGAGGCGGGGAGAATCCGTCTGTAAAATCATCCGGGTTTGAAAAGGGTAGTCTTATAGCGGGGTATACCTCTTTGATCATAATTTTGGTATCAAGCTTTCAAGAAGTTCATGAATGAAGTACCGTCGCCAATGACATGATTGAATGAGCAGCCAAGAAACATTCCATCAGCTTCGTCACCTAAACAGCGAAGGGAGGCAAGAAATGCGCATGGTAGCCATGGCGGACAAAAGGGAGGACTCCTTCGTTAGCGGCGTCGGTGACGGTGACGTTATCGACGATGGCGTGGATGAACTCGGCTCCTTCGCCTAGGCCCGTGTCAACAGATACCTAACATCGTCTGATTTGTTGGTGTGCAGACAACCAGCAAGGGGGTGAAAGCGGCATACAGCTAAGGAGAGAGAGAGGTTTTGGAGACGGCTGATGGTGTCGGTAGCGGTGGGGGGATTGGAGAAGAGAAGGCCCCATTGGATGTAGGAGGTGTTGGAATTATGTCTTTGATTCTTTGTAGAACTTCATGAGAATTAGATAGGATTAGAGATCTATCATGATTAGGAGTTTGAGTTGCATCATAATTAGGAGTTTGAATTTTATTCTAATTAGGAAGTTAGGCTAGAGATATGGTTTTGGCTTTCCTATATATATTCTTCTATTGTTGGAAGAAAAACTAAGAAGAAGAGAGTAGAGAGAAGATGTAGTAGAGAGAGAGAGCCAATATTCTTGTAATCTAGGGTTAGCAGATGGCGTAGCCTGATTCAAGAATATTGTGCGAGAGGTGAGGGTTTCGTGATCTTTATCCGTGCAAAAGATTACAAGGAGTGGGTTATGTATGTGAGGTTGAGAGATTGAGAGACAAGAGTTGAGTGACTCCTCTTGTAGTTCTCCCTGATACATAGTGAATTTCTCGTATTGTTGCCCCGTGGACATAGGTTGAAGTTGGTCGACCGAACCACGTAACTCCCGGTGTTCTTTTTTCCTTGATTGTGATCGTTTTATATCTTGTTGATTGTGGGTTGGCTTCGGAGTTGCACATATTGTAGTAGGCAGGAAAAGTGAAATTCCCCGACAGGGGGTTGATAAGCAAGCTAAGGTCCAAGGAGTTAGATGGAGATTTTGGGCCTCGGTGGGTTCTGGTAATGATGGTGGGGGTTCTCGATCGTGGTTCTTGGTAAGTGATGAACTGTTTTTTGGGGTGAAGCCATAGCTGAGGAAGGAAGAAGGCTGAAGGGGACTAGGGGAGATATTGAAGAGGCTCATTGTGTTTTATTTGGTTGAGGACAGAAAGTAGCCGAAGCAAAAAAAATTATGTTGTATTAGCTGTTGTTTGTACAAGTTTCAGATTTTAGTGGGGAAATGAGGCCATTTGTCAATTAACGGACAGTTTTCACGGGGCGCTTGCAATTTCATTGGCGCGCTGCAAGGGAAAGAGAAACGGAGACGGAAGGCTAAGTTCGTAAATTAGAAGAAGGCCCAAAACTAACCTCACTCTCCACTCTCAGTCTCAGCTCCTCCTCTCAGCGTCTCCTCGTCGCCGACGGTCGAAACAGAGCAAAAGAACTCCTCCCTTTCTCTCTCTCTAAAATATTCATTTTTGACGGTTTTTAACGGGGTTTTGTTTTTGATAAATTTTTTCTCGCCGACTCTAATCCAATGATCGAGACAAAATCAAACCATAAAAATGCAATCTTTAATTTCTCCCGCCTCCTCAACTCGCAGCGCCACCTCTCGCCACGCTCTCAGACCACCCCAAAACCCTAACCCTAACCCTAATTTGTATTCATTTGTATTTTTTGATTAAATTTCTTATCTCAAACCCTAATCCAATGATATAAAGCAAATTAAACAGAGACCTTAAAACCCTAATCCCCGTAAAAATGCAGTCTTTACTCTCCCGCTCTCCTCCCGCGCTCCCATCGCTCCCTCACTCCACTCTCTCCTACCTTCCTCAAAATCCTAACCCTAACCCTAGCCCTAATCCATACGATCTAATGAAGGAGACCCAATCGAAATCCTCACCAACTCTGGTCCGCTCCTTCTCCCAACCCCAGCCGCCATAATTCCCCAACCTCGCCGGCTTCCTAAAGAAGTTCGACTCGGATCCTCGCCTACAGCGCTCCGTCGCCCATCACACCGCCTCCTTCCCCCAAAATGCGCCATCGCCTCCCCCACCTCGCTCCCTCCTTCCCTCAGCCTCGCCGTCACCCTCTCCGGCCCACCGCCCCACCCTTGGGGCGCCGCCACCCACCTCCTCCTCCGCTCGCCGGCGGACCCACCGTCGACGAAACCCATCTCCAAGCGGAAGTTCCTCGAGAACCTTCGCACTGCTCCGCCCCCTTTTCAGGATCGAGTCGTACAAGAGCTGCTACTGTTGATCCTCGAACCGATATTTGAGCCCAAGTTCTCGCCCAAGTCTCATGCTTTTCGCCCCGGGCGAAGTGCGCATACTGTGATTAGGACTATTAGGAGTAACTTTGCAGGGTATCTTTGGTTCTTGAAGGCGGATATTACAGACATTGCTGATAATTTGGATTCGGATGTTATCATGAGTTGTTTGGAGAGGAGAGTGACTTGTAGGAAAGTTTCGGGTTTGGTTAGATCCGCTTTAAAATTGCCCGTTAGGGTTGTTGATAAGGGAGAGGAGGAGAAGGATAGGTTGACGAAGAAGAGGTTGAAGAGGAAGGTTTTGAGGAGGAAGAGGAAGAAGAAGGTTTTGAATGAGAATGAGCCGAAGCCGGATCCTTATTGGTTGAGGACGTTCTTTAGTTTCGCGCCTAAGGAAGCGGAGTGGGTACCTGAGTATGGGCATTGTGGGATTTTGAGCCCGTTACTTGCGAACGTGTGTCTTGATGAGCTGGATAAGTGGATGGAGGAGAAAATTGAGAAGTATTTTAGGCCTTCGAAGCTTGATGCAATATGGAAGGAGTCTATGGATGAGGGTTGTCATAATCCCGCTTGGCCTGAGTTTGTGCCTTCGAGTGGGAGGGAAAAGACCAGGAGAATGGATTATGTGAGATATGGATCTCATATCTTGATTGGGCTTCGTGGGCCGAGAGAGGATATGGTGGAGATTAAGAATGAGCTTGTTGAGTTCTTGGAGAGTAAATATGGATCAAAATTGGACAATTCAAAAGTTGAGATTGAGCATGTAACAAGGGGGATTGAGTTCTTGGATCATGTAATATGTAGACGAGTGATTCACCCGACACTTAGGTACACTTCAACCGGTGGCAAAATTGTGAGTGAGAAAGGTGTAGGAACTTTGCTCTCAGTGACTGCAAGCTTGCAACAGTGCATAAGACAGTTTAGGCGCCTAGAGCTCGTAAAGGGAGATAAAGATCCTGAGCCATTGCCATGTATACCTATGCTTTATGCAGGACAGGCTCATACCAATTCACAGATGAACAAGTTTCTTGAAACTATGTCCGATTGGTTCAGATATGCAGATAACAGAAAGAAAGTTGTTGGCTTTTGTGCCTATGTCATTAGAAGCTCTCTAGCCAAGCTCTATGCTGCAAGGTATAGATTAAAGTCTCGAGCAAAGGTGTATAAGATCGCCGCCCGTGACCTCAGTAGGCCATTGATAGAGAGTACGAGGAATGATGCTCCCGAGTATTCTGATCTTCTGAGAATGGGGCTTGTTGATGCCATTGATGGTGTTCAATTTTCCCACATGTCATTGATACCGTCATGTGATTATACTCCATTTCCTAGGAATTGGATACCTGAACATGAGCAGGTGTTGAGGGAGTATATCAAACTGCAAGATCCTAAATTCTTTTGTGAATTGCATAAGTCTGTGAAAAGGAAAGAATTAAGTTTGCCTCAGGATGATATCGCGAAGATTGTTTGGCATTACAAGGTTTGTGGGGTTCATAGTAGTAAACCTCGTAGGAAAATTCAAAATCTTGAGAATTTTGATGAGGTTCCCAATGATAACAAAATTGGTTATGTTGTTGTATAGTTGAATCGGCATTAGTTTGTTATACCATAACCTTTGCATTTAGTTCACAATGTGAGTTGCATTATGATGCGTGTGCTCATTAGTAGAATGGAGAAACATGAAAGATTAAGGTGGAGTCAAGAAACAAACAGACAAGAGGCAAGTTCCTCCAGAAATTCATCTCTGTAACCTAGCTCTCCATTTAATTTATACAAGTCTATAGCACTACGCTTAACTCTGCATAATCTTAATCTCTAAGGGGGGTTACTATGCTGCAATGCAGGCCACAGACTTCATGGCTCATATCCGCCTATAATTTCAGGTTGGTTCTACCAGATAAAGTTCCTTGTTCTAGAGCGATGCTGTTGATAGTACCATCTTTACAAAATGCAGTAGTAAACAAACTTCAAATTAATTTAATAATTTTAAAATATCCAGTGTCTCCTTATCTGCAGTGAATGCTAACAATTTTGGCCTCTGGTTGCTCAAAGGTAATTTTATATTTGGTTCTATTTCTTTCTATGAACTTATGCATCAATAAAGAAGCAGTAACAAAATATTTCCTGCCAACTATACTATTTTGGATGTTATCGGAGCTTGTATTACCTAGTAGTTCGTTTTTTTTCTAATTTTTTGGCTTGCATCAGGATGACCACAGATATCACTATTATACATTTTCCTTGCTCCAGAAAAATTAAATTTACTCCTTGATACAATATTCTGAAGATTAAACTTCCAAGCATCATATAATTAATGTTGCACAATCATTTCAGGGAGAGAATCAATTTGAAACAGTGGTATTTGCTTCCATGATTTCTGCAGTAAAAGTATTAAAGCAAACTTTGATTGCGTCAACCCTGACCTGCAGTGGGGATCTTTTTAACCGATATATCATTTCAGGTACGTTCAGATTGTTCCCAGAAATTTTTTTGGGTATAATATAATTTTGAAGAGTTTATAGAGGGTTGTTAGCCTGGCAACTGTAATAAACGATGTTTCATGTACATGCCTTCCACATTCTTGCTATTATGGCCACATGATGTATAAGACATTTACAACTGTACTTCTGAAAAAAGGTGTATATTGCTTTATCTAACCTTGCTTAATGTGACGAGATAAATCAACCATGATTTTGGATCTGAAACCATAAACTATGAAGCACGGATTCACCCCCGGAGGCCACGAATCCGTGTCCGACACGAATCGGACACGGATTCGTGCACGACACGTGTACGACACGTGTCGGACACGGTCAATCCATGTCCGACACGGGTCAATGGTCAAACTAAGGTGGACACGGTCAAACGGGGTTTGGGACACGGCTAGGATACAGCGGAACCAAAGAAAAAAAAAACGGATGAAGAAACACGTAAACCCGAAACCCAAACTCAAACCCAAACCCAAACCCCCAAACTAAACCCTAATTTTCACTTACCTGACGCCGACGCCGTCACAACTCACAGCTCTCTTTGGATCCCTCGTCCTCGTCGCTCCCTGAAAATCACTGATTTCGTCCTCGACGCTCGACCCTCGACGAAGATCTCCTCGTCCTCGACCTCGACGAAGATCTCCTCGTCCTCGACCTCGACGCTCGACGAAGACCTCGACGCTCGACGAAAATCACAGGTCAATCTCTCTCAGTCTCTCTCTCGATCTTTCTCTCTCTCTGGATCTGAGTCTCTCTCGATCCTCGACCTCGACGCTGCCACAAATCCGTAGTCTCTCTCTCAATCTCTCTTATTCTCTTTCTCTCTCCTTTTCTCTCTCAGTCTCTCTCTCAATCTCTCCTCTCCGAGTCTCTCTCTGAATCGTTCTCTCTTTTCTGTTCGTCTCTCTCTCTGTCGATCTCTTCATCTCTCTTATTCTCCTTTTCCCTCTCAGTCTCTTTCTATCTCTCAATCTCTCCGTCCCTCTCAGTCTCTCTTATCTTAGTTTTTTTTTGTTTTGAAAAAACTATTTTTTTTTTGTTATGTCTAGTCTCAGTCTCTCTCTTATCTCAGTCTCTCTAACTTGATTCATTGATGTGTCTAGTAAGCATTGGGAAATTTGTCCATTTTCTATACAAATGAATCTGCAGTGAACATTCATTGATGTGTCTAGTAAGCATTGGGAAATTTGTCCATTTTCTATACAAATGAATCTGCAGTGAACGTTATTGTGTTTTAAACATTCTAAACTATAAATACAAATAACTTGTTACTCTCAATTGTCCATTTTCTTCATGTTAATTTCAAATGATCATTTTGTCAATACGCATGTGAAGGGAAGAAACATTAAAAATGTTTGAATATTTAATTTATATCAACACCTTCGAATATTTTTCTGCAATGGCACGATGTCTACATGCAAGTTTCCTCTTGTTGGCAATTGTTAGTCAATAATAATATTACGTTCACACATTTGCATTTATCACATAAGTTTACTTCTCTCTTGTTGGTAAGTTTCCTCTTGTTGGAATTTATTCTCTCTTTTTTATATGTACACCAAGTAAAACAAGAACCACATCCTAATTAGAAAATATGAATACAATTTGAATATACATATTTAATGAATGAATTATGAATATTTATTTTGGTAGCTGTGTTAGAAAATTTGATTGATCATTCATCCTTGCTCGTTGCTACTTAATTTCAAGTATTATCTGTAAAAAGGAAAACAAAGTCAGTGAGCAACAACTTATTAGTTTAGATTGTTAGTTGAATTTTATAAATTTTTCTATATATAATAATAATTTGAAAAAAAATTCCTCGCCGTATCCTCGTATCCTATTTTTTTGGATTTTACCGTATCCCGTATCCGTGTCCGTGTCGTATCCGTGTCCCGTATCCGTATCCGTGCATCATAGACCATAAATAATCTATCATCAAACTAATGAAGGTTGGTAGTAGATGATGTGGTACATTATGGGAAATGATTCTATAACATGATCAATTTTTATAGTCTTCTCTGTGGCATTTTTCCTACACGAGTTAATATAATGAACAAAATATATTTAGGATGACCTAAAATAGTGACTATACTAATTACTATTGTAATCGCTCGTCCTGCCACCGTGATAATCATAACTGCTGTGCCTCATCACCTCATTATTTTTTTTATGGAATTTCATTTAAATTTCTTCGTACTGCAACCAAATGTTATGAGTCTTCTAAAAGTTCACTTTTTAACAATCTTGTAGGATTAACAAATGGAGCAGGCGTTTTAACTGTAAATAAATGCAATTCTTGATTATTATAGTTAAAAAGATATATTCAATAATACATTTTATCAGTTTTTGGTGGAGTTTTCGTTTATGCTTCCTACAATATATATCCTTCATATTTGGAAATATTGCTTATTTAGTCACTTTGAGGTCCACAAAATAATGTTATTATGTTGTCTCCAAATTTGTTTCTAGTGGAAGAGCAAACTCGAAGCTTCTTCATGATGGATCATTTTGTTTGTGCTCTGATTTGGACCTGACTATGTCCCGGTTATTGGTTGCTTGCTTCGTGATTCATGGATACAATACATGCAGATGATGTAGAAAAATAATATATCCTGAAACTCAATGTAAGTGAGCTTTAAGAAATTTAATGCAAGTTGGAGGTCATTTTTTATTGATTTATATCAAGGATAGAGTATAGATTTATGTCAAGGATAGTCTTTTATTAAGTTTCTTTGATATTAAGAGGTGCATGTGCTTGTGAAGATGATGGTCTTAAATAAGTATGAAAATAGAAGTTTGTTGTAGTAATGGCTCTTTAATCTGCTGCTGAGATTGTCTCATATAAGATAATTAAAATGATCCGTGGCCAGATAAGAATTGGTTAGCTCAAAATGATAAGGATGAGATTAAGTTACACTATCAAATTGGCAAAACTTATAATAATTGAAAAATATGAATATTCAAGCAATTCAGACTTATAGACTAAATGAATGCCAATTATTCGAGATGGATTTAGATGAATAACAGTGACAGAAAGGGACAAGAGAGAAGTGAAATGAAAGTTTGTCTGCCCATCAATGCTTGTTCTGCGGAAAGTTAGTGACAATTAAATGAACCATGAATGAGCACAAAGTAGGTGTAATTACAAAACAATATTCAAGAATTGATAAAGTTGTTTAACATCTAACAAACTAATTTGGTTGTTTGGAATTTTAATCCCCACTTGTCCTCATAACTTAGGTCGGAATTCTCTACATCACTTGGTATAGGAATTTCCTATATCCAAGCTAGCAGCCAGTAATAAGATACCATATGACCAGAAAATAAAAAGGTTGGAATTTTACCATTATCATTGGTAACAATAATTAAGTTATATTTTAGCTTATTTTTCTTTAAACGACCAACACTCTTATCTTTATCTTTCTCCTAAACTTGCAATAAACTTCTGCTTGATTTCTTTGGTTTCATACTATTTGTTTTGAATCTAATTGTTGTTTAAAACATACAGTCTGAATATCGGATTCAAAAAGAAATAGTTGAAGTAGTCTACTAAATTCTCTTTAAAATGCTTATGTAATAAAAAGGTTGCATTAATTACCTGTTTAGCACTCGTATGTAGCTATTAGCTTGAATTATTTTCTTAAATATTTAATGAAAAAAAATATGCTTAGAACTACATTCTTGCATTGCACATAGAGTTGTGTAATGGATGCATTCAATCTTATGAGTGTAATTCATGAGGAATATACTAAACATTATAAGTGTTAGATTTAAAATGAATCATAAATATTTATTTAGTGATAGACGATTGCGAACTAAAAATATTATCTCCGGCCAGTTTTTGACAGTGGAGAAGATCCTAATCCTTATTTTGACACCCTTGCGACTCCTTATTCATCAAGACAAGCAAACACATTCACTATCACACACACATACTTAATTACTTACCACACACAAGTTCACCCTCCTCACTTCCCTCCTTCCTCATCCGCTAACTCCTCCTCGAACACTGCTACCGGAAGTGACTTCGATAGCCCCAATGCCGACTTGAATGTGATCATCCCGGGATCCCTTTTGTGTATAAAAAACTCCGAAATCGTCATCCAAACAAACATTTCTTTGCTCTTTACCCCAGTCATCCTTCTCATCCCCCAGTCCTCTATGAATGCTGTGACCTCCTGCCCATAGGAAGTGAGTTGGCCGATCTTCTTGTTTTTGTGTGTGGTAGCCTTCTTTAGTCGCATCCATACGAAGCCGGTCGATTGATTGTAGCCGACCTCATCGAGGTCAACGGGAGGGAGGAGGCCCCTAGGGAGGTGGAATTTGTCGTGGAGTTCAAGAGCCTTTTGCCTGCAGAGGGCTGCACCCGTGTAGACCTCCGCGCCAGGGCGGTGGGACTCGATTATTGATCTTGTGTCCATCGACGACATTATTCTTGTTTGTTTTTTTGGTTTTTCGTTTCGTTGTTTAAAAATGGGAGAGGCTTTAGATGTATATATATATATATATAGTGCATGCCGTAGGGTCATTTCTGTAATTGTTAGCATTCCAAGTTGTGGACTGGCTAAATTGCTATGATTATTAAGGAAAACTTGGTAAAGCATAGAGAAAAGAAAGTAATCAATTAAATATGACTTTTTTATAATTGATTTGACTAAAATTTACTTTGTTTAAGATGTATTATGAAATATAGCTTAATTCTATGTTATGTATGAAAGAAAATATTGAACAAAAACTATTTTCCATAGAACTCTAGAATATAATACATATACACTAATTTTTACGTATCATGAGAGTTTTTTTATTAAATAATACCGCACATACCTGATGTTATTTGATACGATCTCACTTCTTTCACTTGAGTTCAGTTATAGTCTAGAAAGATTACTCTAATATTAGATCCTAGTTGGGAAAAATCATATGCAAAAGATCATTTAATATTATTTGTAGGTGTCGTTAATTTAGTGATCATGTACACATAACTGAGGTGACAAATTATAGTTTAATCAGTACGTGAAGTAACACTTACTATTTCTATGTCAAACTTTGTTTGTGTACTCCTACTTTGGTTTCAATATCATTGCATTAAACGAGTGAATTTGTTAACTAGATTTATTTAGATTTATTTTCTTTTATATTTTTATTATTTCTCTACTTATTAAATCATCTTGTGATACTTCGAACTTCAGATTTTCTTGTGTAGCTATTATTAGTCATTTTTCTGTTTGATTTAATCGTTATTAGATAATATCAGAGGTACCTACCAACTACATTTGGTCAAATCCATATATGCTAAAAATCCAATTTGGTATGGTTGATACATATGAGTATCAATTTGATAATTTATATTTCAAAGTTATGAAAGTTATGTAAATTTTGTTAGAACTTGAGGATCCCGTAGTATTTCTGAGAACGAATGTAAACCTTAGCTAATAGATTTTGATTTCTTATTGTTGTATCAAAATAATTTGTATCAAGTAGAGGGCTTAATAAGGAAACTTTTCATTGGCTATAAAGAGGGACGTAGTTGGAAGAATATCCATTCATTCTGCAAGTTAGATCTTAGAGGGGAAAGTCATGGGTTTGGCATTCTATATAGACCATACTGTTGCGATAACTGACTGAAAACGACTTTACACAAGGGCCTTGAGATTCTAGTCTATTAGCTAATACCAGTTCACAGTCTGTATTTTATAATGAAGCCAATTGTAGCTTCAACTGTACAAACTTTATATTTCTACAACTCGAAGGCATATAGTCTGTGTTATCTGTGGGAAAACTTTGGATGGTGGGAGACTCTTAAGGTTATTATTCAAGCAATCACAGGGTGTATCAAACTCAAATACTGTCATGTTTTGATTGAAGATGCGCACTATGCTAGATTCTATTCAATCAGTTAGCTTTTATAGAAAACACAATACAGCTCCATATTTCGTAGCAATTTTTGCAAGGATAAAACTGACATATTTCGTAGCAATTTTTGCTAGGATAAAACTGAGTCTTTTTCCTCGCATAAGAGAACTATGTGGGATTGGTGGGATGTCATTTCAGTTGTCAAGTTTTGGAGATATTTGAGTTATGTTTGCAATTTTGAAGGAAAAGAGTGCATGTCTTTCATTTGGTGTGATAAAATGATGATGACTTTCATTGTTTAGATTGATACTGTTGATAAGTTGTACTGAACTCTTAACTGAGAAAATGGTAAAGAAAGGTGAATGTTATTATATTAGTGCTTCCAATTTAACCAAAGTTAAGGCCAGTGGGAATCGTGTTTGTTATATTCCAGCAACATGCGTACAGTGACCTTTTTATCATTAATCAAATCTCAATAGTTTGTATGTTGGAAGTTAGAACGACGAATAATGATATAAAGGGACAAGGGAATGCATTGAAAGAGAAGTTTTTCGATTCATGAGTGTTTTTTTTTTTGTTTAAGTTGACTAGATTTTGTGCTAATTAAGTGATGCAAGTGGTCTAGTAAGCTAGAGAAGGACAAGCATCCTTGTCTGGTTGGTTGTTAGCTGTCTTTTTTATGGAGTCGTACACCTATGCTTTATGCAGGATAGGCTCGTAGCATGTCTTTCATTTGGTGTGATAAAATGATGACGGTTTTCATTGTTTAGATTGACATTGTTGATAATTTGTACTGCACTGTAGCTGCAGCCTGCAGCAACGTGTATACAGTTAAAGGCTCATGGGAATGGTTTTTATGTTAATGCAGCAACATGTATACAGTTTACTTCTATCCTTTAATCAGACGTCAATAGTTTGTATATTTGAAGTTGGAATGACGAATAATGATAGAAGGGGACAAGGGAATTATTTGAAACTGAAGTTTTTCTACTCATAATTGTCTTTCCTGTTTCTGTTGACTAGATTTCGTGCTCATTAAGTGATGCATGTGGTGTAGCAAGCTAGAGAGGAACGAACTTCCTTGTCTGGTTGGTTGTTATCTATCAATATTTTTGAGCCGTACACCTATGTTTTATGCAGGACAGGCTCTAACAATTCCCAGGTGGACAAGTTTCTCGAGACTATGGCAAATTGGTTCAAATATGCATGCAACCAAAAGAAAGTTGTTGGCCTTTGTGCTGATGTCATAAGGAGCTCTCGACCAAGCGTTATGCTGCAAAATATAGATTAAAGTCTCGAGCAAAGGTGTATAAGATATCCCCCATGGCTTCAGTCAGCCGTTGACAAAGAGCACGAGAAATGATGCTTCCGAGTATTCTAAACCAATGCAGATTAGATGATGCTAATAACAGTATTCAATTTCTTGTATGTCATCGATACCATCAGATAATTTTACTTCATTTCCTAGGAATGTAGTATTTGACCATGAGTGGGTTTTGAGAGAGTATATCAAATTGCAAGATCCTACCGGAAGTCTGTAAAGCTGCAAGAATTAAGCTTACCTCAGAATGTCATATTGAAGACTGTCTGGAACTACAAGGTTTGTGGGGTTCATGGTAGGGATCTTTGTTGATGTTGAGAATTTTGATGAGGTTCCCCAGTTATAAGAAAATTGGTTATGTTGTGTAGTTGAGTAAGCATTGCTTTGTCATACAGCATATAAATTTCATTATGTGAAATTGTGAATTATATTATGATTTCTTTGCTCCTCAGTACAATGGAGAAGCATGAAAGATTAAGGTGAAGATAGCAGCAAATGTAATGATTGTTGTTTGAGCAAAAGGTAAGCTTCTCCAGAAATTCATCTCCATAACATATATTCCAATTTAAATTATCTGTGTCTATTAAACATTGCCCTTAACTCTCTGACCTTTCTTTCTAGGATGTTACTGTGGTGTATTGCTGGACAAAAACATCAGAGCTCATTTACACATGTAATGTCAGGTTAGTTAAAACAATTTCTCAATGAATTTAATATTTTTGAAATATTGAGTGATCTTCCCCATCTTTGCCAAGGTTGTTCCAATCTTGGGCCTATATTTTGTTTCCAATCTTATTTTTAACTTATACAATAATTAAGGAAAAAAAGAAACAAAAGATTTCATGTCAGATGCTCCTGTCAACTATATAATTTGAATGGCAGAGGAGTTTGTCTCACCTCGTATTCTTGTTTTTCAATTTTTAGCTTTCATCAGGATCACAGCAGTCATCACTAGGTTACACTTTTACTAGATCTAGCTTTAGAATAGTATTTATTCTAACTACAATATTATGAAGGTTGAACTTCAAAGCATCCGATGATTCTTATTTTCTTTCGTTTCAGGGAGACGATTCACTTAAACCAATTATCTTTGCTCCCATGATTCCCACTATAAGAGCATTGAGGCAAACTTCAATGCGTGGAAAATGAATTGTCGTTAGGATTTTCTCAATTCAGTTTATCATTTCAGGTATTTTCAGTGTACGCTGATCCTCAAGAAAAACAGAAATTTTGATAATACAAATTTGAAAAGTTCACAAAGATTGTTGACCAGAATATTATTTCAGACCAAATGATTGTGTGTGAAATAGTCTTCTCATTATGTTCCATTATACAATTCGTGATCAACGTCTTCCACATTCTTCCTTTCTCATAATTATTGCCATATGTTTCTTTAAGACCTTTGTTATATTGCCTATGCCGAGTTCGCTTAATGTGATGAGAGAAATAAATTTATGCCTGTGGATATGAACTCAAGAAAAAATCTCCATCATCAAATGAATGAAGTAGTTAGTGGATGATGTCTCACAACATGGCAAATGACAAGGATGTCTATAACATGGTTGATGCTTTGATAATTTTCTCTATAACATTTTTTCTACATAGAGTTAGTATAATGAAGAAAAATATTTTGGGTGACCTATTAGTAATAACATACTACTGTTGTGAACTTTCATCCTGTCAATGTAATATTCATCGCAGTTGTGCCTCCACAACTTAGCTATCACCACTTTCGTGATCCTATGAAGCTTCCTCTAAATTGCTTTAGGATTAAGTGATTAACAAATGGAATTAGTGTTAAACTGCAAACAAATGCAACTCCTGATTATCATGATGAACAGAAGGATATCTTCAGTCATAGTTTCAGGTTTCTGTGATATGTTCTGGTGTGGTAGCGTCCAAGAATCTATGAAACTAAATGTTTAACTTGCTTTCTTGCTTATGCTTTCTTCAATATTTATCTGTCACGTATTGTAGCATTGCTCGTTTAGTCGAAATTATTATTATTATTTTGTATGTTGCATTTTTTGGTCGCTAGCTTTGTGTGATTTATCATCCAAACACAATCTATACTATTATTCTGAAGCAGTTCCAATTGGAGATGACACTTGGCAAACCAAAAAAAAAGAAGAATATTTCATTTGGGTGGAATTTCTCTATGTGCAGCCCGCTAGACTATACTTGATTTCATTTGGTTTGCTCGGGGGATCCAGCAGGGGGATCCGTTAGGACCTCTGTTGTTCGCACTCACGCTTCACTCGTTGATTCTTCGAGTGCAGGAAGAATGCAAGTTGGCTCTTCAGGCTTGGTATTTGGACGATGGGTCCTTGATCGGGGATACATTGGAGCTTGCTAAGGCATATAAGATGATCGAGACTGAAGGCCCAAGGCTTGGGTTGGACCTCAATGTCACCAAAACTGAATTATTCTGGCCCTCCCCGGATCCTAGGAGTTTGATGGAGGGGTTGTTTCCCTTGAATATCAGTCGGCCTCGCGATGGAGTGGGGCTTTTAGGTGGAGCAGTTAGCGTGGAGGAGGGGTTAGCAGCGAAGAGGGTGGCTAAGGCGACTCAGTTAATGGGAGCGCTAGGCCAACTTAGGGATCCTCAGTGCGAGCTCGTCCTTTTGAGGGCTTGTGTAGGTTTGTCCAAGTTGTATTTCGCCTTGAGGACTTGCCCGCCACAGCTCTTTGCTCAGGCGGCGACTCAGTTCAATATTGTGCTTTGGAGGTCTGTCGAGAGCATTGTCACATCCAAAGGCCCAGGCTTCGGGGATCTCCAATGGAGGCTGACCTCTTTACCTATCAAGGCGGGTGGGTTGGGGGGTCTACGCAGCGGTCGATGCTATACAGTTTTCATTTGTGGCCTCGCGGATTCACTCCATCGAGCTCCAAGACCACATTTTGAGAGGTTGTGGTGATGTTTCTTTAGGTGAGCATTTTACTTCCGCCCGGGTTTTTCTTCAAGCCAAGCTACCTGAGGTTGACCTTCTTCAAATCACCACTAAAGGGTCTGTCCCCCCAAAACCAATGCATTACTTAGCAAATATTTTTTTTGGTGGCGTTTGTAGAGATCTATCGATGGAGTTTGACCTGTCAGAGAGGCAGGTTGCGATTGTTGGGTGCCTACGGGCAAAGCATGCCCATGATTTCTTGTTGGCCACACCTATTAAGGGATTGGGGCAGCGTATGACCCCGGGGGAGTACCAGGCCATCCTCAAGTATAAGTTGTTGGTTCCTTTGTTCGTGGATGGGACAATGTGTACAGTTTGTCGTAGGACGCCGATGGATACTTTTGGAGAGCATGCCATCCACTGTCAGAAGCAGCCGGGGTTCAAGTACAGGTACGACTTAGTCAGAGATGTCTTGTATGATATCCTCCGAAGAGCAGGGATCCCATCCAAGAAGGAAGTGCCGGTCAAATTCCTCACTCCTCCTGGAGAGGCTAGATCTGCTTTAAGGTCGGCAGACGTTCTTGTCTACAGTTGGAGCGGAGGGAAGCACGCTTGTGTTGATCTTACGGGGGTGTCTCCGTTGGTGGGGTTTGGTAATGGAGTGTTCACGGTTGGGCATGCAGCGGATAGGGCGGCAGAGGCAAAGATGGGCAAACATGATCAAGCTTGCAAGGACAACCACCATAGTTTCATCCCGTTCGCGTTCGATACGTTTGGTTATCTTGCAGCTGATGCAATGGAGTTTCTCAGGAGGGTACAAAAATTCATGAATAGGAATGTGCCGACAGCAGGATCAGCTGAGTACGTGTTTCGTCGGTTGGATTTTGCAATTCAGAAAGGATTAGCGGCGCAGCTTGTTGCCCTCTTGTCATCATCACATGTGTAATATTTTGGTTTTGCTCTTATAATAAAGGAAATAAAATAATATAAAACAAAAAGAAAAAGAAAAAAACTCTTTTCCACTTTACAGATCCCAGGAATCCAACGGCTCATCTTCCCTCAGTTATTGAAATCTTTTTCTTGTGCCCCCTCTTTCTACTCTCTCTCTCTCTCAAGAAAACTCTATACAGATGAATTATTCTCTCTGTGATGTGCTATAAAATGCTCAATATTTTCTTTTTATCCCCCCTCCTTTAACTATTCTTTCTTTAATTTTTAGATCGAAATTGATTTTCTAGGGTTTGGTCGTTGACTATAGTTGCTTTCTTGGTCCCAAATTTTCTACAATTTGCTTCCCTTTTTTAAAATCTAATTCTTGCTCTATCGAACTATGGTCTTCTTCATTTCTCCTCACCATCCTCAACTCCGTATTCCCTCTTTGAACAAATAAAAGCCCTAGAAATCTCATTAGCGATTTCTACTCGAATAAATAAGCAATGGGAATCTAAAGCCTACCTCGTGATTGGTTAGAGCAAGCTCTCTTCTCCTATTCAGAGACTGGGCACCTTGACTTCACCGTTATTTTTGGCCAGCAAGCTTGGTAGGTCTACAATGTAAGCACAATAGCTAATTCGTTTTTAAATTTCTTCTTATTGAAAAGATTGGTCTTTTCCCCTAGTGTTAAAGCCCTGATTTTCATTTTTTTCCAATCCAAATTATTTGAACAGTAGAACTTTATCGTGAATGGATAATTGTCTGCATATGATCGGATAGCATATGATGATGATGACGATAATGACCATGGTCTGCACATATGCATGGGTCGTATTGCCTATACTGGTTGATGCGATTTCCTTGAACAATTAAAAGATCATTTTTGTGACACATTGATATGCTGTGTTTAATTAGGAGATGTGAATTATTCTTATTATCCCTTTTAATCATTTTCCATGGTAAGATTTTTATCTTAATAATTATGTGGTGTTTTGATTAGGAGATAACATGCCCTGATCTGTTGTGATCGATCAATAACTATGCTTGACTACAAATTTTTTGCATTAATTTTCAGGAAAATTTAACAGCAAGGAGGAGCTAATTGCAGTCTCTAAGACCCAAGGTCCAACATCCGTCATTCCTCTTATTTGATCAGTGCTAACATGACACTACAATACACAAATGGGCGGTCTCTTCAATAGATGCTCATGTCGGCATAGTATGCACTCTTGGCACAACTATTGTGACAAAGTAATTTTCATCCGGTGGAGTCACTGAATCAAAAAATTTCTTGCCTATAAAGTGGGTATTTGTTTGAAGAATCAATAAATTGTTAAAGCTATAAGATCTCAGATGGGAAATCCACGAGTTTTGCGTTGTATTTTGGCTTTTGGTTTTGATAATTGATTGAAAATGGCCCCGTACCTGAGAACTGGTCTACTTTTATCTATAATTAAGCAAATCAGAGCTCAACGGCATGTGGTGTATGTTCTTGCCCCACATAACTAAGGGCGCCCGCATCTATTTTGATTTGATTAAGTGACGTGTTTTCTTTTATTAAAGAGCATTGATATCGTTGATAACTCCTACTGAAATCTAACAGCGTAAAATGGTAAAGGGGCATGATTTACTCCTCTTACCATCGTTCTTAAATAATGTCTATTTCCGATTTGTGACATCATATAACCTAACCCTTTGCGTTAGTATTTAATTTAGTTGTGGAGACGTGCAATGTACTACAGTAGTGTAGCCCTTTGTACCTACCCTTTTTTTTAAGCGCTTGCCCCTCTGAATCTTAGATTTGATACTTTATTGCCCGAGAGGGAAATGCCGGTCTTTTTTCCAATTAGACGAAAGGTGATAGGCTCTTTTTTGGACGAATTTTCTAAACCAATCTATTTCCACATTTAATCCCCAAAAAGACATGTTTTGAACTTATTTTCAAAAACCGATTTGGTTTCAGCCCTGGCGTTGAAACCAGGTCGGTTTTTGAAAAAAAAAAAATTCCGAAACTTCGCGGGAGTTCAACTCCTGTGAAGTTTCATAGTTCAAAAAAAAAATTGAACTATGAAACTTTACGGGAGTCGAACTCTCGTGAAGTTTAGCAGCTTTACTAAACTTCACGGGTGTTCAACTCCCATGAAGTTTCGGAAGCTTTTTCAGAAAACCGACCTGGTTTCAGCGCCAAAGCTGAAACCAGGTCGGTTTTTGCAAATAAGTTTAAAACAGGTCGCTTTTTGGGATTAAATGTTCAAATAGGGTGGTTTTAAAAATTTGTCCGCTTTTTTTCCTAATTAAAACCAAAGGCAAAAGGTAATTTATAATTGTGTGATACTTATGGGTAGACGTCCTCTTAAACACTAGGAAAATATAGTTTGTAAAGTATAAACTAATACATCATCAGATTACATTGTATGTACCTACGTAACCCTAATCACAATTCGAAGTTAGAGCAAAGAATAATGACAGGAAGACAATAAATTATTTGAAAGGGAAGGATTTCCACCTATAAATGCGTTTCCTTGTCGATTTAGTTACGTTTCCTGCTTAATAAATGATCAACAGCAAGAGAGAGAGCGACGGGCGTCCTTGTTAGGTTGGATGTTATCTTTGTAATTTTAAATTGTAACCCTAAAATGCTTGCTATCACAAGTTGAAGCTAAACATCAATGCAGTGCCTTTTTTATTTTTTATTTTTTATTTTGCAAATATATCATCTCTGCACATTCACCTTTCAAATTTGTACACTGGCTCTAAATTTTCGGCCTCTTAAGTTTTCGGCTCCCCATTGGGCCCAGTCAGGCTTCCTTTCTGGACTCTGGTTATTACTTTAGGGGGTGTTTGTTTCAATTTATTTTTGGGATATAGGGTGGATTTTAAGTTTTGGGATGTAAAAAGTGCTTTTTTTGAGTTTTGGTATTCCTTAAACTTTGTTTGTTTCACTTTTTTTTAGGATATTGAATCCCTAAATTATAAAAAAATAATATATTTTTAGGATTTGTGAAATCATCTCTTTTGTTTCAACTTCTTTTTGGGATATAAGGTAGATTACAAGTTTTTTGGGTTTTAGAATTCCATAAACCATGTTTGTTTCAAAACCAATTTTGGGATATTGAGTCCCTAAATAATAAAAAACTATTATATTTTAGAATTTGTGAAATCCTACAATTGAGAGAGGATATAGGTTGGATATTGATGTATTAATGCTTATAATATAAGATTAATATATTAAATATAATATTATAATAATATAATATTTAATATAATACATCTATTCCTTTATAATGGACCCAAGAATCACTGTTCATGCTTTAGTAAATGCTGCAGTAAATTACTGTAGCATTATATATATATAATATATTATATTATATAATAAATAATATATATATATATAATATATATAATATATATATAATATAATTTAATATTATATAATATAATAATATATAATATTAATATAATATAATATATATATAATAATATATATAATATATATTATTTAAATTATATATGTAATATATAATATTAATATAATATATATAATATTATATATATATAAAATTATATATATATATATATTTTATATATATATTATAAATATATTATATATATATATATAATAATATATATATATATAATATATTATCTACATAATATATATATTATATAATCGCGTTCATAGCTGTAGTAAATGCTGCAGTAAATTACTGTAGCAATTAATATATATAATATATATAATATATATATATATTATATATATATATATATATTATATTATACATATATTATATATATTATATATATATATTATAATATTATATAATTATATTTATATATATTATATATAATATTAAATGTATAATAATATAATATATATTTATATATAGTATATATACTATATATTATATATATATATATATGTCATACTTATTATATATATATATCTATTATATATATATACTATATATTATATATATTATATATACTATATATATATATATATATATTAATATATATATATATATATATATATATATATATATAATAATATAATATATACCTACTATATATTTATATATACTATAACTATATAATATAATTATATATTATATATAATAAATACTATTATATATATAATATTATATGTTAATATATTATATATATAGATATATATATATATATACTATATATCATTATATATATTATAATAATATAATTATATCTATAATATAATATATATATAATATATAATATTATATATATAATATATAATATATATAGAAGGACCCAATAATCACTGTTCATGCTGTAGTATTCCAAATCCCAAAATATTATATAATATTATAATAATATATGTTATTAAAATATTATATAATATTATAATATATAATTTATAGTATTCCAAATCCCAAAATATTGATGAAACAAACAAAATATTATAAATTTTGGTATTCCAAATCCCAAAATATTGATGAAACAAACAAAATTTTAGAGATCCCAAAACATGTAAAAAATTTTATGGATTTCAAATTCTATGTTGAAATCCATATCCATAAATTTTGTGATGCAAAACAAACACCCTCTTAAAGTAAAGCATTGCTTCAGTGCTTTGAAATTCATTTTTCTGAAAAGAATAAAAATGGAAAAGCAAAAACTCTCCATCATCCATTAAATCCTCATTCAATTACTCCCAACAACCAAATCTTCACACATATTACTGCTCTAAATCCTATGACACTGGGCCCATTTGGATATGAAAGTATTGGAAGTAAGAAGTAGATTATAGAAGTAACTTTCAAGACTATGAAGTAGGAAGTAGTGAAAATAATATTTTTTTTGTTTGTTTCATATATTTTTTGAAGTAATGGAAGTAGAACTTCTTCCTCTTCATTTACTTCTTTTGTTTGGATAACATTTGGAAATAATACTAGGAAGTAATTAACACATGTTGCTTCCAGAATTTTAAAGCCACGTCACGCTCTTTAATTTGATCTAGCACGGTACAATCGGTTTCATGCCGCTATGACCCCTCGTACTTGAGAACAAGAAGAATCCTTCAACCACATAGCTTCAAAATAAATGTTTACCTCTCGCCTACGATAAGACTCCGAATGACCATAAATTCCTATGAATCTCCAATTTTCCTTATCCCTTGCTCATTTGATTGTAACATCAATGTGGTATTTAGACAAAGAATTAATAGACAAACTGTTGTTGGCCTTTTTGTTTTGATGATGTTTTAACACAATTTACAACTAATATTGTTTGTCTAGTGTTTGTGTTTTTGTATTTATTCTAGGCAAACAATGAGTTAAAGGTTGGATGGACTAGAGCTTTCACGATCATATCCATTGGAGGATCGAAGGAAATATCAGTATGAAGCAATGCAATTCAAATTAAAGATTCAAGTTCAAGCTTCATCCGCAAGTTTACCAAGTCGTGCTAATTAAAGACCTTCATCAAGCTTGGGTATATTTAGCATATGTTTATATTATGCGTGTTTAGTACTTTAAGTTCAATATCATATACACACACATTTTATTGATTTATATATATATATATACATGTTTTGGTTTTCAAGTTTATATAAATATGAAATTACATATTTCATATTTATTGTTTTTATTTGGTTTAGCTTTATAGATATGAAACAAATATACATTCATATACATATTTTATGTTTCTTATATATCATTTTGTTAAATGTATATTGTGCAAAACTTTATTTTTTGTATAATATTGAGTTTTTAGTTTATAGACTTAACAACAATAGTTTATGTATTTAATAAAGTCTATAAAATTGTTTTACAAAGTTTTAAAACTTGGTTTATGTCAAAACATCAAAATTTAAGTATCTCATGTTTTAATATTTTGGACATAATTGCAAAATCATAATATTTTACAAATGGGAGGTGCTATTTGAAAACTAGTTTTTGTAACATGTTCATTTTCATGTTTACAAGTATTTTCTAAAGTTTTATATTTTTTGGAATTTATTTGTTATTTTTAAAGGCTCTTCAAAAATCAGTTTTACTATTCAAAACATGCTGATATTGTGTTATCAGTCGATTGATGTAAGTGTTCAGTCGACTGATGAAAACACCTGGAATAGTCAATAGTTTCTGTTTTTATGTTGGTCGACTGACCAGTCGACTGATGAGGTCATCAGTCGACTGATTGTTAGACCCTAGAGGGGGGATGATTAGGGTCTTATGCTAATCTAATCCGATTTTATGCTAATTAAAACTAATTTAAATATTATTCTTGCAAGATAGATACGTAAAAAGATATGTGCAAGAATATGCAATATGAACAAAGAGATATATATCCTAACAATGAGATATGTGGTAAAATATATGCACGGATATATAAACTAACACAAGAGTGAAACAATATAGTGGATGATATAAATAAGCAAAAGAACAATGG